TGTATATTGTGTATACTGTGTATATTGTGTGTATATATTATATATAGTACAGATTATATCATATATAACTCAGATCCAAGGGCAGTTTTTCTTTCCTGACCAGCTCCCTTCAGTAAGCACGATATTTTCTAGGTTCATTCACACGTGGATCAGGGCTTCATTTCTCTCTTTGCTGAAAAGTATTCATGCGTTAAGAGCACTAGTGATCTAGTGGTAAGAAACTGCGCTGCAATCCAGAAGGCACGCGGTTTGAATCCGCCAGTTGTTCCACAGGAGAAGGATGGGCAATCTCCTCCTTTGTGATTAACTGTCTCTGAAAAGCCGCCGGGGGTGGGGGGCGGGGGTCAGCTATGGGTTGGTTCCGACTCAATGGTACACAACAACAACGACATTGTGTGTGTTATATTCTGCTCATGTGTTCATTTGTTGACATGTATTGCCCTAACCCCATTGCCATTGTCACTGCGTCAATCCATCTCATCCAGGGTCTTCCTCTCCTGCGCTGTCCCTCTACCCTTCCAAGCCTGAATGACCCTCTCCAAGGACTGGGCCCTCCTAGCCACATGCCCAAAGTATGTAAAATGGAGCTTCCAAATCCTTGCCTTCAAGTAGCAACCTAGTTTCCAATCGCTCCAGGATCACAACAAATTGTAGTTCCATTGAGAACAATGAGAATCTCACAACTCTTGATTGTGTGCTCCTGTCAAAGCTAGACCAAGAGGCTACTGTCTGAACAGAACAAGGAAACACTGCACGGTTCAAAACCAAGAAGGAGTGTCAGGGGTGTAGCCTTTCTCCAGTGCTTTTCAATCTAGTTGCCGAACAAATCATCTGAAAGGCTGGACTTTATTAAAGAAGAATGTGGCATCAGGGTTGAAAAGAGACTCATTAATAATAACAACAACACAATCTTGCTCACCAAAACAGAGGAGGACCTGAACAGTTTGCTACAGAAGACCAAGGACTGCCATCTTTAGTATGGATTGCATTTCAACAGTGAGAAAACAAAGGTCCTCACCACCGGGCCAATAGGCAGCCACATGATAGATGGAAAAAAGATCAGTAATTTCATCATGCTCAGATCCTCTATCAACACCATTGGCACTAGCAGTCAGGAACTGAAAAGAGGAGTTGCTTTGGGGCCATTTGCTGCCAAGAACCTTTCCAGGGTCCTAAAGAGCCAGAATGTGAAGAGCTAGAAGTGAAGCAGCCCCGGATGCAGGCCACGACCTTCTCACTCATTTGGTAAGCACCCAAGAGCTAGACCACAACTAGGGATGACAGAATTGATGCCTTTGAGTCGTGGTGCTGGAGAAGAGTACTGAACATACCACAGACTGCCAAGAGGACAGACAGGTCTGTCCCGGAGATGGTGAAACCAGGTTGTTCCTTCAAGGCAAGGATTTTGAAACTCTGTTTCACATACTTTGGCCATGTTGCCAGAAGGGACTAGTCTTTTGAGAAGGACATCATGACTGGAAGGGTAGAGAGTCCGCACAGGACAGGAAGCCCCTGGATGAGATGGATTGACATAGTAACTGTGGTGATGGAATCAGGGACGTCAGAGACAGTGAGGCTGGCTCAACTAGGGCAAGGATTAGAGCCACTGTTCAAGGGTCACTGTGTGTCAGTCAATGATCCAGCAGCACACAATCACCACCCTTTGAGTCTGTCAGCAGTGGTGCAGTGGACACTAATATGCGTGTGTATCCAAGGCCCTTCACGTAACAGACTCAAGGCTGGTTATTATGATAGTTTATAGTTAGAGAGTTGGTCAATGACTAGGGAGGATAGGAGAATTGACACCTTTGAGCTGTGGTGCTGGAGAAGAGTATTGAATGTTCCATGGACTGCCAAGAAAACAAACAGATTCATCCTAGAGAGGCCATCCAAGAAGACAACACAAGACTTACTCCAGCTCCTGTAACTGGCAGTTGGGTCCCGTCAAGGCCAACATCAAGTCTTTTCCACCGGTGTTCTCTAAGTGATTCATACTCAGATCTAGATGTGTTAGTGTTCTGTTCAGCATAAGAACTTTCCCAATGAAGGGGCTGCAGTCACCAGTGAGGCAACAGAAGCTTAATCTGCAAAGGGTCACAAATACAAAGAAAGTTCTGGGTCAGTAATGGTTCTTTTTCTACGCTAAAACCATAAGCCTCTTTATTCTAGTGCAAATATCTCCCCCTCTCCCCCTCTCCTTCCCCTCCCCTCCTCTCTGTCTCTCTCTCTTTGTCTCTCTCTCTCT